CACGCACGCACGCACGCACGCAAGAGATGTAAATCCGACCAAGCAACCTCCAAGCGGTGCATCTTGGATAATTCTAACGCTGACGGTATTTAAACTTTAAAGACTCATAACTCAGGAAGTTCTCATCGGAAAAGAGTTTATGATATGAATTTTAAAAACGTCTCAACATAACCTACAAGAATCTGAAACAAAAAGTAGGGAGTTCCATTTAAAAAAATTAAGTTGACCTTGACGTGACCTTGACAACGCCATTCTAGGTCAAATAACTACTATCGTTAAATGCGTCTTTTTAAGCTTTACAACTTTTGTTTGAAACATTTTTTTCTAAAATGTATCGTTTATGAGATATTTGGGTGTATCCAGACTTTTGGCCCACCCTGTATATGCAGGATTGGAATTTAATGCTGCGAAAGGTTTCTTACATTTCATACGTATAAAACATATAAAACGTGTATTATATACGTTAAAATTCTAAAACCCATCTCACATGAAATACAACACAGTGAGCACTGATGAGCATTGCATAATTGGACCACTGGATCAATTAATATTAACCTTAAAGTTGTCATTTTGATTTACATACCTTCTTATTGGTCCAGCAGCTCTATGGCCGGTATTCATAATCAAATCTTATATTCAAGACCGTCTTAAGTACACTCTTAAGATGTCACGAACCAATCAGAGGGCCGCATTAGCGTCTTAAGACTACTTAAAACGGTCTTGAAATAAGAATCGACTATGAATACCGGTCTATGCAAGGCTTATAGTGATATATGGGCTATCCCAAACAACACAAAGTCTAAAATTATGACATAAGACGTCTTTAAGTCATCTTTTAAACGTAAAAAACGTCTTATAACATGATTTTAGACACTTTTTGTTGTCTGAGATGTTCCAAAATTGAATGCCTGTACTGAAAATCTATAGTGCACGTAACGTAAACTGTCTCATTTTCAGTGTTGACAGTAAATTTGGAACACAGCCATGATATTCTTGGATCTGTTCGCGTTCCTTGCACTTTTCCACTCAGCAAGTTTGCTTTCACTCTTTTCAACGCCCAAACATATATCTATCTCATTTTAAGTTAAAAAATTTGACGATTTCAAGTAACGCGAACACTGCGAAGTGCGAACAGTGAAGCGCCATTTTACTACATAGCTGAAACCTACGATGTATTATATGTAGTTTCATCCATGTATGAAACCACGTATAATACATTGAGTTTGATATGTGTCCAACCCTGTATATATATATATATATATGTGTGTAACAAATAATTACGTACGAGTTTATTGTATTTTTTCGCAGCTTCGCAACAATGTGGTGAATCAAATGAATGGTAGCGCAACGCTTTATACAAAATATCATTACGATGATATGGTGAGTACACTGTTACAATATTTAACGATAAATATTCATAAATGTGCAATTTATTTACCGAGGATTTCATCTTTGTAGTTGCGAAAACTGACAAATTTTTTTTAAATTCTCATTATTATTCGAAGAGAAATTATCAAAATAATAAAAAGCTAATCTAATATTTTTAAGGCTTGAATTTCTTTATATTATTATTTTATCACTCGTTCGCTTTAGAAAGGATTTTGATTTAAATTCAACATGTTTGTAAATGTTTACGTAGAAACAAGTATCTTTTATCAGAAAAAATATAATTCTTTAATAATGTCTTTTATAAAATGATCTCATAATTTATACTACTTCAATTAATTGTTTATCGTATTGTTTATTGCTTTAGAAACGTGTCGGCAGAGTAAAAAGAAAATACGATTACGCGGGAATAATGGACACTCCGTTTACGGTAGTGGTCAGTTTGCCCGACCACGATCATGCTGGAAATTATCGCGTACACGCTACCGAGGAGATACATCGATCTCACGCTAAAGGTACACATTTCATTTTAGCGAATTATCTTACAGCGACGAAAGCTTCCAATAACACAATATTATTAGATTATTTGCATTTATATTGAGTCTTCTTAATAACATGCTACATTTTCCATTTTTCAAATGCCAATAGTTGTCCGAAATTATTTTACGCAGAATGTTGAGCATTGTTATTTGAACTTATTATTGTAAATTATCTATTTGAACTTTGAGAAATTAATTGATTTATTAAAAACGCCAATGAATTGATAATAAAATTCGAGAGTCCTAAGAACACTACTCAAATAGAAGATGACATGATCGGACAAGTCAAACAGATGCCGAAGAAATTTGACGATTCAATGATGTGATTATGAAAACCTTCGCGAAAATGCACGAACCATACATTTTTCCTTTGAATGTAATCTCGTTTTACGCAAGTATAGGCATATGACAGTTTGGCAAGCTGCAAAGTTTCGCTGTAAAGTTCCACTTGGTACGCAGTTTGGAGTCGCAAAAATATTCGTAAACAAGTTTTGTACTGCATCGGTTATGAAATTCACATTGTCGCTAAATGCTTTGTATTGGTCTGAAGTTCTCGAGGAAAATTTGCTTGCCCTAAACAAAGCCCTGTACAACGTACATCTCGTAACTCCTGTATTAACACTGTAAATTCTAGGAAAGATCTACGATCCTTATATTTCGCTAGTTTGGTTTTCGCAGCCACAAACAATATTTTTTTACTCATAATGATAAAAGAGCGATAATTAATTAAAAATTATTTTTTTTACCGCTTTGTGAAATTTTTAACTTGTTGAGATGATAACAATTTCAATTTCTGCTTCGGACATTGAACTGAATTATTATTTTTTTTCTTTTAACTTATCGAGGCTTTCGTCGCTGACTTTGATCACTTATGTCAAATTTGAACGAATTGAACTATTGTAGATATTGCAAGTAAGTCTCGAATAAGTTTTCAAAATAATTCCGATTGATGTAAAGTTTGTTCTTTTTAGCTACATTAAAATGAAATTTATATTCAGCGAAGAAAAGTAGGCTAATAAACTAATGAAATGCGGCAATTTTATGGATCTATTTGTACACAAACTCTTCTTGTTGTAAATGTTAGGTATCATTACGAGGGTGAACATAGGTTCAATTCCTCGGAATCACAGCTCCTACATTTTCTGGAGCGTACCCGCCTACCAGGCTGGAAGTGGATCGACATGAAGCAACGATCCAAACCGCCAGAACACTCCGCTACGAGTTCCAATCACAGCTCTAATCGTAAGTCATCTCTTACTATATGCAATTTCTTGTTATACATATTTATTGTTCATCTTTAGCGTTGATTTAATACAAGATGTTTCTAACAATAATTAAAATTAATAGCATTTAAATTTTTTGTGACAGCTAAGCCCTACAAGGCCGAGAACAAGAATTTATACTTTTGTGACAGGAATCTGCTGCTCAGTCTAGTATACGATGCTAAGGTAACCGAGTGGTTTGCCCAGCAAATCCCACCAAATCCCAGCACCAAGGAATCAGGGTGAGCATAATTTCGATTTATTAGCTAACATAAGAGTGCTTTATATAGCATGACTAGACTACTTGGAAAAACAATGAACGAATTTTCCTTTTCCCTATTATTCGCATAAACTAGCACGCGATTAATCGGTCAAATAACACAAATCTCTAACACAACTATTCGCCTTTTGTAGTATTTTATATTGTTCTTATGTAGATATAATTCTGTAATTAACGGTAATATTACTCTTGCGTTAAAATTAACGTCATTTTATCACTATTTAATAATTGAATGATTTATGAAGCTGTCGATCAGAATTATAATAAAAATACGAATATTTAATATTAAACAGTGACCTAATTATTTCTTGATAATCTACCACAAATAGATGCAAATTTTTGTATAAAGATAAAATATAAAAAATAAATTATAACGTAAAATAAATAAAGCTGGAACGATTAATCGCTACTCAACACATCTTTAGGACGGAGACATCGCATTTTCTCTACCATTATTTCCTTGTCAAAGTTAAAACTTACACGTGCTCATTTTGAAACACTCCGTCCCGTATTTTTATTTTAGTTCTCTATTTTATGCACAGTTCTTTCTTTTCAATTTTTCTGTCTTTCTTGTTTCTATGAGGATAGAAAATTCACCTATTCCTTTTGACTAATGTCTCTTACCACTTTGACGCCATGCAGACCTTTAGCTAGGCTGATGAATCAGATGACCAGGTAACGCCATCACAACGCACCTTACATTCTTAGAAAGTAATGAATATTAACTTTCAACTGTTCGAATCGTACATTATAATGCAAATGTCAGCTCTCCCTATCTTTCTCTTTTGTTAACTCTATTTTTTCCTCTCTCGTTTTTTCATAGAACTTTGTTCCATTTCTTATTAGGGAACTGTATTTATTATCTTCTTTCTAATTAATTAAAATAAAAAATTTTGTATTATATATATGTATATAAATTTTACAGAAAAATTGATAGAATTGTATCTTTCGCGATTCCTCTTTTCTTAATTTAATTTGCTGTCTTTTTTGTAAAGTATTTGTTCAGTATATTAATATTTCTATGCGATATACTTAATCTTATTTTCTTTCTTTATGCTTTTTTTCTTTTTACTCTCTTTCTCTCTTCATCACTTTCGACACTTTGGGGTCAGCGCTAATTAGCTTGCAAATCGTAGAGCGATTGCCATCTTTCAGGATCAGAAGTCTGAAGAGGAAGAACGCTTTGCGAGCGATCTGCGAAAGCAAGAAGATTTTTCCAACGTGCAATTGATTTCGGTTGCTTTATAGCATTTTTAAAAGTATTATTCGTTCGTTTGTGCCATTCTATAAAAAGACAATTCTTACTCTAATTGTTGAATCTTTTACAACACAATCTTATATTTCAGTATTTGATTTAAATAAATAATTAACAAGATAATAGAAAGATATGTACTATGATACAATGGTCATCTATGATACTATGATACAATGATAAAATCAAGGTTGGCAAGTAACGCGTTACTTTGTTGATCGTTACTTTGTTATAATAACGATTTGATAATGACATTGTGAATTTTTTATGATGGTAATGCTAACATCAGAATTAGAAAAGTCAATCGTTATTTGTAATGGATGAAAAAGTCATTCGTACTGAAAAAAATAACTCCTAATTTGTAACGCGTTACTTTTTAGTAACGAGTAACGTTACGCGTTACTCGTTATACTTATAATTTTTTCGGTGTAACGCATAATAGTGACAAGTTACTTTTCAAAGTGACTTTTCTAACTTTAGTACAACCTTAGCGTTTAGTTAGTTAGCGTTACCGTCATAAAAAATTGCAACATCGTCATCAAATTGTTTACTATAAAAAGTAACGACAAAGTAACTGAAAAGTAACGTTTGCCAACCCTGGATAAAATCATGTTTTACTTGTAATAAGATATAACTCATCTGGTTACTCATGAATCAAATAATCAATTGTTGTTGCGAAATCAAAGATAATAATTGCGACATAATTTTTTATCCTTTTTTATTTGATTTTGATTTTTCAAATCAAATCCCATACATGTGGCGCAAAGGAGCTGCGAGCTTGCGTACGAATTTTTGAGAAACCTGTATAACTTGTATTGTAGTTACATATCAAGTATTTTAAAATGACTCCTTCAAAAAAGTACAAGTAAACGCCAGCTCGAGTCGTAGACGATCCGAATCGCTATTTCTGAAGTATCTTCTCTCGTAGGAAGCAGTTCAAACAACGCTTTGGGGTAGTCCTGGCGTTTATGGCTACACATAACGGATTGACCAGATGGCAAGACTTTCTTCGAGTAGATGAGAATATGTCGCTGCCGGAGAATCATTTCAGTAAATTGTATCCTCGTGCTATCGACGAAGTGTGGTATAAACGAGCGGTCGAGCAGCACTACATAAATGAGGACAGTTTCGTTTTTTCCGTACCGCTCGAAGATAAGGGTGCCAACAACTCCACTTTAGTCACTGCCAGTCGTGCTGTATTTATTGGTAAGTTAATAATCGGTATTCAAACTGTTATCAAAGTAGAAGAGGAATATTTCCTTTCAATTTCGAAATGTTAAAATCGATGAAATTAACTCAATTAGATTTACTCGTCTCATTTTTTTTTTAATTTCCTGAATACTAATAGTTGAGATAGAAACAAAACGTTCAAAATTACATAGGATCAATATAATTCATAATATTTATAAGATCCATATTTGAAACATCTTTTAAATAAGTAATTATTGTTAAATTACTCCAACATTAGTGTAAATTTAGTAATTTAATGACTTTAATGAGATGGAAGGACTTAGCAAACTAGATAACTTGCTTTAAATATAAATGATACGTATATTATATATATAATGGTCCGACAGAATATTAAATCTGCAAAAATAAATTTGTAGAAAACGCGAAGGGGAAGGCGCCAGCTATGGTGGTCGGCTTTCAATTCCAGCACACTGCCTTGCAAAGGCTTTTCCAGAACATAACATTTAACTGCGATGGTAATTGCCATAAACACTGCGGCGATGAAATCTGGGCATGTTATCTCATCGACAATAACGGCTACATAATCGTCGCCGAGGATGAGAGGGACGCCGGTAAATTTTTTGGTGATGTCAGAGGTCCGATAATGGCTAGCTTAGTCAGGGATGGTGTCTTTGAGAAGATAAGAATCTTTGATTATCAGGCGGTGTGCTTCAAAAGTCAACAAACCAACAACGCCGGCAACATTCTTCTTACTGTGAGCACTTTAATTACAATATACTGTTAAGTGTCAAGAATGCTAGTCAAAAGAAAAGCCGAGCTATCTCTCGTGTGTTTTGTATATATTTGCTATAATATTAATCTTATTTAAAAAAGTTTTAAAGAGATCTTAATTACTTTTGATAATGTAAGAATCAGATAATGTACACACATATCTCTTTTTTCTTTTTTAGTGAAGAAATATAAACGACAGATAAATCTTTACAGCAAATATTATAATTAAGATATCATAAAATTTTTAATTATACATGTTACAATTCCGTTGATTTAAAAATTAAATGCAAAATGTCATGTTGCAGCCATGGAAGCATTTGCAGACAGCACTGTCGTGGATGATCGGTCAAGCTGCTTGGGCTTGGGCAAGGACGGGAATATTGGATTATGAAAACGCGGAAGCATATAGCTACGATGAATCAGCCGTTCATAGTGATGACCACGAGAGTGAAGAGAAACTTCCGCCAGTCACTGACAAAGACGATAGATTAAACTTTGATCAAAATGTTCTGATCAATCGTACACGCCCGGAAGTGTGCGATCAAGAGGTAAACTTTAATAATTTAAAAGATATATAAATACTAAATTACTGAAATTATTGATTATATAATTATAATGTATACTAGATATTCATTAAAGAAAAATTGATTCTAAGTGGTCAGAAAAACAAGCGTAATGAGATACATTATAAATAACTAATATTACTTCCAAAATGGTTTTTCTAATAATTAGAGTATTTCTAAGTAGGCTATTTTGATATAAATTGCTATCTTGGTACCTGATCCTAATTTGATTTTTTTTCATACTTTGATGTCTACGCATTGAATCTGCAGATATACTTGTACATGCGAAACGCCTCGTTTGACTCGTATGACATGGACATGGATTGCGAGCATAGATGGTACATGGTACAGTCGGTGACTTACAGCAATATGCTGTTGGTGGTGCTAAATACCAATTGTGGAGACACGACGTCACCGATACTGAGTGTCAAGCCCGAGGAGGTAATTTATGAGAATAATACGCTGGTTTGTCAGAAAGCACTCACCGGTCTCAAGCGAAAACGGCCACAGTCTTGTATACGTTCGAATCCTCGCGAGAGCGATATCAAGGATCAGTGCGGTTTGGCGACAAGCGCCAAGTCGAACTTGTTTCTCTTGATATTGCTGCTGATATGTGCACTGGCCGAAAAGAGCATCTTCCTCCTTGGTTAAGATCGACCTGATTTTGTAGTTAACAATTGGTGTCAAGCTAATCAACAATGAAATTCATGATATGCCGCGAATTGAAACTTTCGCCTGATGGAGTGTACTATTGTGCATCCAGTTGTCTTGTCCGACGATCAGGATTGCTACATAACGCATATTTAAACGATGTTCTATTTATTCGTTAATTTCTTTAATCAATGAATTGTTTTTTCCTGCACGATTTAAGATTCATATAATTATATTTAATTTGAAAACAAGAGGAAATCTGAGTAAATGGAGAATTTAGTAAGAGAGAAATAATGAAAGTAAACTATAACTCTTTCTCTCTTTTTCCAAAATATATTAAATTTCATTATCCTCTCTCCAATATATCAATCCTGATCATGAGTACTTTGAGATATTTTGTGCTCTCTCATTACTGCAATCTTGTTACTATAAATACGAGCGCAGTCGAGTTCTAGACGAATTTAATTTGCTATTCCCGATCTCCCCCTTCCCTGTCCAGTTTCTATGCGATCAATCAAATGTGGCGAACGCAATTGATATCAAAATGTGTGCTAAGATACAAAATTGTTCTCCATCGTCATCGATCGTCAAATCAGATCAGATAATCAGAATTAAAGCGCTTAGCGTAGAATCGTTCGCTAACACATTTTCGATCATGAAATAGAAAAATAAATGCGATTCAGTGAATGATTTTTCTAAATGTGTTTTATTACGTTAAAGAAGATCGAATTAAAAGAAATCGACAGAAGTCTGTCTTTTACATTAAGTATTCTACTTCGGATAAATTCCTATTAATTAAAAACAAGAAATAAAAAATAAACCAGGCGTCATAAATGTCTTAATACACGAAGTTACATACATTTGTAACGTACTTTCATATTCTTTAAGCAATTATGATGCAATTATCTGAATATAAAACCGAATATAATATCTCAAATATGCATAACTGTCTGGTGACATTTCTAGCGTCGAATATATAATGTCAAAATGATCGAAATTCTTTTAATGATTTTTCAAGTACATCCGATATTATTAGAAGAATTTGTCTTTTTTGAAAGAATCAGAAAACAAATTTTGCTGAATATCAGAATCCGTTCCGAAGATTAAAGTGTTTCAACTGACTTTGACACTTTCATCATGTAGATAGGACAATTGAATGGTACAAGGAAGCTCTAAGTATTCTAGAGTTGACCTAGTCAGTTTAAATTCTAACTCATTGAGACATAGATTTTTCTAGTCGTCGAAGCAGGGTTGCGTACTACGATGCATGTTCACAAATACACTACGATATACTCGCTTTGTATATTATAAACCGATAGTGACGGGGGATGGCAACGCGTCGCTCAACATCTACAGAACATTACGAAACGTTAATTTTGTATATCGCTGTATTATATTGAGGTGTATGTGTGTGCGTGCGTGCGTGCGTGCGTGCGTGCGTGCAAAAAAAGTGTGTGCCTTTGGACACGCGGTTAAGACAAAAAGAAAAAGGAAAAAAGAGGAATATGAGATCTTGTTGTATGTTTATTGAATAAATTACCGAACGTTCTATATATTACCGCTGAACTCCGATTCTCGGACAGTGGCCTCGTCGGGGGAACGAGTTCCGTTCGAGGAACGGGGGATGTTGTTTGTATTACATAGAGTTTATTACAATTTGCTATGTACAACGGCTTGCCTATGTAAAACAAGAACGTTTTCGTAAAATGACAACTTTTCAAGAGAAGACTAGACTTTACTTAAACCTCAATTATGCCTCTAAATATCTCGCTATTCTTTTCATTTTTTGCATACATACATGTTTTTTTCTGTCTGGTTTTCCAGCTTTTCTATCACTTTCCCACTCTGCGTATACTCCCGAAGATTCTGAGAGATCAATTCTGCGGCCTGTAACAATCTCGATTGTAGTTCTTTTATTTCTCCCTTTTTTAGATGTATATTTATATTTATTTTTGTTAATACCAGGTTTGGGTAAGTTAACTTTTTTTTTAATTAAGTTAAGTTAAAGTTAACAGCCTCGAAAATTTATCTTAATTAAAATACAAGTTAATCCATAATGAAATTAATTAAATTAAAAGTTAAGTTAATAAAAAAAGTAATCGAAAAATTAAAAATTAAATTTAATCCGAACAACCAAAAAAAAAGAAAAAGAAAAAGTTTGACCATTTTACATAATTTTTCGTATTTTTTCTTTCTCACAGCATATTTATTAAAGAATCTGATTATTTTTGTTCACAAGTAACGATTATACAATATAAAATTAGTAAATTATATACTCATTATCCTCTCGCATTGTGTCTGAGGATTAACTTAAAAAAAAAATCAAATTAAAAGTTAATAATTACCGATAAAATATAACTAAATTAAGTTAAAAAGTTAAGAGTAAAATGTAACTAAGTTAAGTTAAAATTAATTAACGTTTTAATTTAACTTTTATCTTTTTAATTTAGCACTATCCAACTCTGGTTAATACCATAATATTCATATTGGGTTTAAGAAAAAATCTTCACAAGTTGGTAAAAAGAACTTCCTCATCAATATCTTCGTTAAAAATGATCAAAATTTAAATTAAAAAAAAAAAGAGTTTTAAAGCTTGAAATCTCTACTTTCAAATGGTTACTATATTTTTTTTAATAATTTATGTGAGTTTTGTAATTTTTACAATTTTTATAAAAACTACGAGCTGAAAAAAATGAAAAATTTTCTTTTCACTTTGTAGGTTTGTAGCGTGCCCAAAA